GTCACCAGTCCATCATGGGGACACATGGACAGGTCACCAGTCCATCACGGGTCCACCTGAATAGGTCACTAGTCCATCAAGTGGACACTCGAACAGGTTTCCAGTCCATCATGGGGACACATGAGACAAACCTTCGCCCTCTCCCTCACACATGGGGATATTTTAGAGTTATCAACTAACCTAATGTGCACGTATTTGTTTAAATCAAACCAGAGAATCTCAGTTGGACGGACGTCTGGGTTTTGACTGGACCATTCCAGGACATTTAACTGGTTCTCTTCAAAACCAGTGGCGTGTTCTTCAGCAGTGTGTTCAGGCTCACTGTTCTGCTGAAAGGTGGACCTTTATGGTCTCAAATCTGTGGAAGACTCCACCAAGTTGCTCTCAAAAAGTTATTTGTAGATTTATTCCTGAGGTCTCTGTGTCTGTCTGCCCCCTGGGTTCCACTCAAACATCAGATCATGATTTGCCTAGTTTCTTTTTTAAATCCATGGTTCTTTTCGACATTTTTCAATGAAGCCCAGCTCTTCACAGCTTCTGGTGGTTCTTTGGACTGATCCTCCCATTTCTGCAAAGGTTTATTGAAGTGGCATTATCTTTACATTCTTTAGTAATGGATTTAATGCTGCTCAGTGCTAATCATAAGGGTTTAGGAGTTTATTGTTTTTTTTTGGTAGCTTTTTTCATGAACCCTGATCCATTTTTCTCCACAACATTGTCTCTGACCTCTGAAGAGCTCTGTGGGCATCATGCTGGCTCTTGCTTAGTTGTAGATCTTGCTACTTAGCCGTGTTGAACTAGTGTTCATTTTGGGTTCTAGCAGAAAGAGATCATTTAACATATAACTAATTTTGGGCTTCTGAAGGTAACTGTTGAGGCTTCAAAGCAAAGGGGTTGAACACTTTAGCAGTCCATTAAAACTGAAAGCAAGCTGCTAGATCAAACCTTAATTTAAAATTGGAAATGCAATATAAGTGAATGTTTCATATTTGGTACTTTAAATGGATAAACCATCCAGAGGACCTGACTGAACTTTGTTAGTCAGTACCTGGAGCCTGAACTTTGATGATTTAAATGGATAAGTTACACATTGATGGCAGCAACATTGTGTCTTCCAAATCGTCTGCAACAACTTTGTTCCTGTTCCTGGCTTGCCTTCATGTTTCCAGTCATTGTCATGTGTCATTTTCACTAAATTCCAAGATTAATTTTAAAATATGCTCTATTGCTGTCAGCATTATTTTATTTATCATTGTTATTTTTTTTAATATAGTTTGGGGATTTAGGAAGTGTAAGTGAAATAAGATGTCAGGATGGTTAGTGTGTTAGTGGCGTGAAAGCAGACGTTTCTTACACAAGTTGCAGGTATTTGAAGGAAGCTAACTCTTTGGGCACACTGGTGAACTGGTTACCATCCAAATATCTGAGGAGAGAAAACACATGTACTAAGTATTTGTTCACAGGAACAATTACCAAAATCCATTAAGGGTTGAGGTCAGTTTTAAATTAACGTTCAAATGACTGACATGTAAACATGTTTTCATGAAATCTTAAATTTTTTATTTTAAAAACTAAAAATGTGTGGATGAGAGTAGCTTTATTGAATAATCGGCCATATTAAATCACAGTATAAGTGAACAGAATGGGATTAAAACAAACAGATGTAAATAGATTGGCAGCTGATTTATCATAGTTTAACCCAGTCTTCACAGCAAAAATCCATAAATCCATCATTTTAGTGAAAACAATCATTTTAATTATCCAGTTTTCTTTATACTATTTGCAATAATATTTTTTAGATATCTCAAACATACATCTTCCTGTTATATTTTTTAGTTCATATAGGTTTCAATAAGTACATTCTTTTTAAGCACATTGAAAATAAGAAAATTAATTCTGAAGAAACTCAATTCAATCCAGTTTATTTCTATAGCACCAAATCACAACAAAGTTGTCTCAGTGCACTTTACAGGAACATTCACATAAAAGCCAATTAGTAAAGTTCTCTATCTAAGAATCCAGCAGACAAGATGAATCTTTACTTCATCATAATCTCCCATCCTGAGCAAGCACAGTGGCAACAGTGGAAAGAAAAACTCCCTTTTAAAAGGAAGAAACCTCCAGCAGAACCAGGCTCAGGACAAGCGGCCCTCTGCTTTGACCGGCACTCACAATCGAGCTGTCTACAGTACCACTGTCAAATGTTTCATTTTGCATATCTAAAATGACAAATTATTTTAGAACTATTGAGTGACTTTCTGAATTCTAAAAATATCCATCCATCCATCCATTTTCTTCCGCTTATCCGGGGTCGGGTCGCGGGGGTATCAGCCTAAGTAGGGAGGCCCAGACTTCCCTCTCCCCAGCCACTTGGGCCAGCTCTTCCGGGGGAATCCCAAGGTGTTCCCAGGCCAGCCGAGAAACATAGTCCCTCTAGCGTGTCCTGGGTCTTCCTCTGGGCCTCCTTCCGGTGGGACGTGTCCGGAACACCTCACCAGGGAGGCGTCCAGAAGGCATCCTAAACAGATGCCCAAGCCACCTCAACTGGCTCCTCTCGACGTGGAGAAGCAGCGGCTCTACTCCGAGTCCCTCCCGGATGATCGAGCTTCTCACCCTGTCTCTAAGGGAGAGCCCAGACACCGTGTGGAGAAAACTCATTTCGGCCGCTTGTATCCGAGATCTCATTCTTTCGGTCACAACCCAAAGCTCGTGACCATAGATGAGGGTGGGAACGTAGATCGATCTGTAAATTGAGAGCTTCGCCTTTTGACTCAGCTCTCTCTTCACCACGACAGACCTGTACAGCGCCCGCTTCACTGCAGACGCTGCACCTATCCGCCTATAGATCTCACGCTCCATTTTTCCCTCATTCATGAACAAGACCCCAAGATACTTGAACTCCTCCACTTGGGGTAGGACCTCCTCCCTGACCCGGAGAGGGCACTCTACCCTTTTCCGGCTCAAGACCATGGCCTCGGATTTGGAGGAACTGATCTTCATCCCGGCCGCATCGCATTCGGCTGCGAACCGCTCCAGTGAAAGCTGTAGATCACGATCTGATGAAGCCAATAAGACCACATCATCTGCAAAAAGCAGAGACGCAATCCTAAGGCCACCAAAACGGATCCCCTCAACACCTTGGCTGCACCTAGAAATTCTGTCCATAAAAGTTATGAACAGAATCGGTGACAAAGGGCAACCTTGGCGGAGTCCAACTCTCACTGGGAACAAGCCCGACTTTCTGCCGGCGATGCGGACCAGGCTCTGACACCGGTCATACAGGGACCTAACAGCCCGTATCAAAGGGCCCGGTACCCCATACGCCCAGAGTACCCCCCAGAGGGCCCCCCGAGGGACGCGGTCGAACGCCTTCTCCAAGTCCACAAAGCACATGTAGACTGGTTGGGCAAACTCCCACGCACCCTCCAGGACCCTGCTGAGAGTGTAGCGCTGGTCCAGTGTTCCACGGCCAGGACGAAAACTGTACTGTTCCTCCTGAATCCGAGGTTTGACTATCCGACGGACCTCCTCTCCAGAACCCCCGAATAGACCTTACCAGGGAGGCTTAAGAGCGTGATACCCCTGTAGTTGGAACACACGCTACGGTCCCCCTTTTTGAATAGGGGGACCACCACCCCGGTCTGCCAATCCAGGGGAACTTCCCCCAATGTCCACGCAATATTGCAGAGTCGCGTAAGCCAACACTACCCTACAGCATCCAGAGCCTTAAGGAACTCTGGGCAAATCTCATCCACCCCTGGGGCCCCGTCACCGAGGAGCTTTTTAACCACCTCGGTGACCTCAGCACCAGAGATTAGAGGGCCCGACCCAGAGTCCTCAGGCTCCGCTTCCTTAGTGGAAGACGTGCCGGTGGGATTGAGGAGGTCTTCAAAGTATTCCGCCCACCGACCCACAACATCCCGAGTTGAGGTCAGCAGCACACCACTCCCACTATAAACAGTGTTGGTGGCATACCGCTTTCCCCCCGAGACGCCGGATGGTGGACCAGAATCGTCTCGAAACCGTGCGGAAGTCATTCTCCATGGCCTCTCCGAACTCCTCCCATGCCCAAGTTTTTGCCTCAGCAACCACCCGAGCTGCATGTCGCTTGGACTGCCGGTACCCATCAGCTGCTTCCGGGGTCCTACAGGCCAAAAAGCCCGATAGGACTCCTTCTTCAGCCTGACAGCATCCCTCACCGACGGTGTCCACCATCGGGTTCGAGGGTTGCTGCCACGACAGGCACCGACAACCTTGTGGCCGCAGCTCTGGTAAGCCGCCTCGACAATAGAGGCACGAAACATGGTCCACTCAGACTCAATGTCCCCCACCTCCCTCGGAACATGTTCAAAGTTCTCCCGGAGGTGGGAGTTGAAACTCCGTCCCACAGGAGACTCTGCCAGACGTTCCCAGCAAACCCTCACAATACGTTTGGGTCTGCCAGGTCTGACCGGCATCCTCCCCCACCATCGGAGCCAACTCACCACCAGGTAGTGATCAGTTGACAGCTCCGCCCCTCTCTTCACCCGAGTGTCCAAGACATGTGGCCGCAGATTAGATGAGACGATGACAAAGTCGATCATTGAACTGCGGCCTAGGGTGTCCTGGTGCCAAGAGCACATATGGACACCCTTATGCTTGAACATGGTGTTCGTTATTGACAATCCATGACGAGCACAGAAGTCCAACAACAGAACACCACTCTGGTTCAGATCAGGGGGGCCGTTCCTCCCAACCACACCCCTCCAGGTGTCACTGTCATTGCCCACATGAGCATTGAAGTCCCCCAGCAGAACAAGGGAGTCCCCAGAAGGTGCACTTTCCAGTACCCCCTCCAAGGACTCCAGAAAGGGTGGATAATCTGAACTGCCGTTTGGTGCATAAGCACAAATGACAGTCAGAACCCATCCCCCCACACGTAGGCGGAGGGAGGCCACCCTCTCATTCACCGGGGTGAACCCCAATACACAGGCACCAAGTTGGGGGGCAATAAGTACGCCCACGCCTGCTCGGCGCCTCTCACCAGGGGCAACTCCAGAGTGGAAGAGTGTCCAGCCCCTCTCAAGGAAACTGGTTCCAGAGCCCGAGCCATGCGTAGAGGTGAGTCCGACTATTTCTAGCCGGAACCTCTCAGCCTCACACACCAGCTCAGGCTCCTTCCCCACCAGTGAGGTGACATTCCACATCCCAATAGCCAGCTTCTGTAGCCGAGGATCAGACCGCCAGGGTCCCCGCCCTCGGCCACCACCCATCCCACATTGCACCTGACCCCTTTGGCCCCTCCCACAGGTGGTGAGCCCATGGGAAGGGGGACCCACGTCTCCTCTTCGGGCTGTGCCCGGCCGAGCTCCATGGGTAAAAGCCCGGCCACCAGGCGCTCGCCCGCGTGCCCCACCTCCAGGCCTGGCTCCAGAGTGGGGCCCCGGTGACCCATGTCCGGGCAAGGGAACACTAGGTCCATTTGTGTTTCTCATCATTGGGGTCTTTGGGCTGCACTTTGTCTGGTCCCTGGACTTTCTGAATTCTAAAAATATAAAAAAGTTAAGTCTGGTCCTCTGGACATTCACAAAACAAAACAAAAAGTAGAAACGTTTCGTCTTTCATCTGAAAGACTTCCTCAGTCTGAGGTGCTGTATTCAGCTCAGTCTCTTAAATAGCACCTTCTCAGAGTGGATCAACCAGTTTGCTGCTGACAACCAAAACCAGTTGATCACATGGTCAAGAAGGACCATCAGCCTAACAATGGATCATTAGCACACTGATGTCTTGCGCTTCTGTGCTGGACCATGCTTTTGACCAGTGGCTGTTTAGTTTCCCCGATGTAAGACTAATCACCCTTCTGACACTGAACAACATACACAATATTACTTTGTTTGTGCCGGGGGACTGGATCTTTGGGATGAACCAGTCTTTAATGTATTTTGGGGTTTAAAAGCCACTGGGACAAACTGTAAATACTGGTCTGTGTGGGTGGGTTTGTGGTACACCTCAGTTTGCAAATGTCCTACATCATGTCTTTCTACCCAGTGAAGTTCCCACTTGAGTTATGGCTAAAACCCCACTGCAGCCTGTCCTCAAAGGGGTATCACAAACTAAATCTAGCACTTGAGTATTACCCAGAGTGACCTTAGGTTAGCTCTACTTAAGGCTGTGTTGAAGGTGACTCACCCAGATTTGTTAACGACCTCCATCTATGAGTCACACCCTTATCTTACCCCGTGACTCGCCAAACTTAGCAGCCAGAGTTGGATAATCATTCAAAGGGAAAACTCATATTCTATGGTCACTCACCTTCAGTTGTAGAACTGCTGTTGTTACTGATCTGGTTATTTTTAGAATCTAGGAATAAGATTCCAGGATGTTGTTTATAATCAAAGCTGAGAAAACCTTTAAAAACCTCCGTCTTTAGTTATAATATTGAAC